CAGGGTGGAACAGTTGCTAAATGTTGGCATGCAGGTGCAGGAGGTTAATGGCATGCTAGCCTTCATGCTGAGAGGATTTGAGTGTAGGAGAAGGGATGTCTTGCTGCATTTATACAGGGCCTTGGAGAGGCCACACTTTCAGTATTGTGCGCAGTTTTGTTCTCCTGTTCTTGCTATTGAGGGAATCCAGCAAAGGTTCACCAGACTGATTCCTGGAATGGCAGCACTGACCTTTGAAGAAAGACTGGATCAACTGGGCTTGTACTCTTTGGAATTTAAAAGAATGAGGGGAGGATCTCATAGAAACATATAAATTCCTAATGGGACTGGGCAGGCTAGATGTGGAAAAATGTTCCCGATGTTGGGGAACTCCAGAACTAGGGCCACAGTCTAAGGATAAAGGGGTAAGCCATTCAAGACTGAGATGAGGAAGAATTTCTTCACTCAGAGAGTTAGGAACCTTTGGAATTCTCTCCCACAGAGAGCTGTTGGGGGCCAGATCATTAGATATATTGAAGAGGGAGCTGGACGTGGCCCTTGCAGCTAAAGGTATCAAGAGGTATGGAGAGAAGGTGGGAGTGGGATATTGAAATTGCACAATCAGCCACGATCATATTGAATGGTGGTGCAGCTTCAAAGGGCTGAATGACCTAGTCCTGCAGCTATTTTCCATAATTCTATGTTTCTATCAACAAGAGTTAACTTGACTGCTTTGAACTCAAAATTGTCTGTTAACTGTTCCCTGCTGCATTCTTCATGACAATGCCAACCCATTAGCACCTTCTTCCCATGAAGTATAAATTGTTGTTCCTTCGAATTTGGCATTCTCGCCATTCTGACCTGTTGAGTGCAAAACCAAAGAACTTCAATGGCATGCCTCTTGTTTCAATTCTGCACTATTGTTTCCCTTGAATCCTCCAGAATACTTTGTACTCCATGTGGTCCTACCACTCTTAAGTAAGTACTGGGGGAACGTGGGTGTCTGATATGGCCACTAAATATTGGCAAGAGACCCATTTCTGTGCCGGTGGAACTCAATGCAATGTGAATTGTAATTATGAAGTTCTATAATTGCTTTTAAAAGAACATCTCCTCTTTGAAGGTGGAGTCACAGGTAGATAGGGTGGTGAAGAAGGCATTTGGTATACTGGCCTTTACTGGTCGGTGCATTGAGTATAGGAGTTGGGATGTCATCTTCTGACTATATAGGTTATTGGTTAGGCCATTTTTAGAATACTGCATTCAATTTTGATCTCCTTGCTATAGGAAAGATGTTGTTGAACTTGAAAGGATGCAGAAAAGTTTTAAAAGAATGTTGCCAGTGTTGGAGGGTGTGAGCTATAGGGAGAGGCTGATCCACCCCAACCTTAAATTTACCTGGACCATCTCTAACACCTCTCTCCCCTTCCTGGACCTCTCTGTCTCCATATCGGGCAACCACCTCGAAACCGATATTCATTTCAAGCCCACCGACTCCCACAGCTACCTAGAATACTCCTCCTCCCACCCACCTTCCTGCAAAAATGCTATCCCCTATTCCCAATTCCTTCGCCTCCGCCGCATCTGCTCCCAGGATGAGGCATTCCACTCCCGTACATCTCAGTTGTCCTCGTTTTTCAAGGACCGTAACTTCCCCTCCTCGGTGGTCGAGAACGCCCTCAACCGTGTCTCCCACATCTCCCGCACCTCATCCCTCACACCCCGTCCACGCAATAAAAACCAAAAAAGAATCCCCCTCGTCCTCACGTACCACCCCACCAACCTCCGGATCCAACGCATCATCCTCCGACACTTCCGCCATCTGCAATCCGACCCCACCACCAAAGACATCTTTCCCTCCCCACCTTTATCTGCTTTCCGGAGGGACAACTCTCTCCGTGACTCCCTTGTCCGCTCCACACTCCCCTCCAGCTCCACCACACCCGGCACTTTTCCCTGCAACCGCAGGAAGTGCTACACCTGCCCCCATACCTCCTCCCTCACCCCCATCCCAGGCCCCAAGAAGACTTTCCACATCAAGCAGATGTTCACCTGCACATCTGCCAATGTGGTATACTGCATCCGCTGTACCCGGTGTGGCTTCCTCTACATCGGGGAAACCAAGCGGAGACTCGGGGACCGCTTTGCAGAACACTTACGCTCGGTTCGCAACAAACAACTGCACCTCCCGGTCGCGAACCATTTCAACTCCCCCTCCCATTCCTCAGACGACATGTCCATCCTGGGCCTCCTGCAGTGCCACAACGATGCCACCCGAAGGTTGCAGGAACAGCAACTCATATTCCGCTTGGGAACCCTGCAGCCCAATGGTATC